CCGTCTATGGGGTCACACAGAGTCGGACATGACTGAAGCGACTTTGCAACAGCAGCAGCAGCAAGGAAGATTAACCCAGTTTATAATAGCAAGTTTATGGAAATAATACTCAGTGTCACACAGAATGGACACAGTCTAGGAGGAAGCTAAGGTTTTCCATGGAGATCAGCTTTAAAAGGACGGGAGTGATCATTGAAAAAGGAGCAGTGCAATAGGTAGTTTAAAGGTGATTTTGAAAGTCCCCCATAATCTCCTCCTTAATCCCTCAATTCAAGTAAATTTGCTCTTCCAATGAAGAAACTTCAAGATAAGCTTGTTAGGCACTTTTCAATCAGATTTTTAACCCCTAAGTCTCCCCTTTACACCTAACCCCAGTATAAAAATTCAGAACTTGCCAACTAATGTGAAAAAGGCATCAGTGGGAGCTTGGGAGACACTGAAAAGAGAGGATCAAAGATGATAAATGACATATTTTTGAACTGACTCTTTTAATAGATTGCAGACACTATTAAAAGAAATTTTTTAAATAAAGAAATTAGCTTATTTATGAAATAAGATGATTTGTGAGTTAAGTCATGTTAATTTTGAGGCAATGGTAGCATCTCAAGATGGAAATTATAAATAGCTAAATTATTGGTGTGCAGCTAAGTATGGCAATATGTAGCTTTGAAAGTCATCAGCAAAGATGTTATATTTGAAAATACATTATGGAATTACATTTTAGAACCCAGAAAAAAACCTGGGGCCCATCTTAGTACATCCATGTTAAGTAGTAAACGTCAATGTAGTAAACTACAACAATCCAAGATAACAGGACCACTAAATCCTCAGACCACTGAGTGTTAAAGATACGGGTCATCCATCTCCCTCCCCAAGAGACCTTCCTGACCCAGTGATCAAGCCCACATCTCCTGCTTGGCAGGCGAATTCTTTACCACTGAGTCTCCTGGGAAGCCCCCAGCTCACCACATAAAGAACTCCAGTGGGTACTGGTGAACCCAAGCATAAACCCTGAATGAGAACTAAAAAAAAAAAGGAAGAAGTATATCAAGTACCTGTTATGACTAGAAATAGACTGTTTGGCTATGAATATTTTCTTAATATATATTAATTAATGAGTTTTTTCTAATCCCTCCCTTAGTATTATGCATTGCAAGTTCCTTCCTCCATGCCCTGCATCCTTTCCATGTCTCTAGCTCCTACTAGACAGCCTCTTACTTCATACTCTTCCTACCTGTTGGAGCCAGTTCCTCGATTCTGGTAATAATGTTCTTTTCCCACTGTGTCCCCAACATAGGAAAATGCCCTGTCATTGCCAATCTTTGAGCTGTCTGCTTCTTCCCTAGATGACATCTTAGATCTTCTGTAACCTATATAACCAACTCCATGTATTATAGTTATTTTATTCAAACTGATCTAAAGTAGTTTTTTTTTTTCTGACTTACCAAAATGATGCCCTGATTTTTCCTGAATGAAAAGGCAAAACATGGGAAAAATTCATTAAGTAACTGCTTTTAAAATTGCAAAAGCAAATAAAACATTCCTCCTAGCCTATTTTTCTTCACTTTTATACAGAGGATACATGATAAAGCTTTTACATGTAGACTAAAGGCCAAGAATCGATCCCTAATGAAAGGAGGGAAACTGCCTTGAGATACACACATTTATCTGTTGGGACTGAAGAGAAAAGCAAAGCTTGGGCTAACTTTAGAGCACCCCTGCCCCCAACACACACACCAGACCTGGCATCTTACCATAGAGAGGACAGTAGGATTGGGGGGGGGGTGGTGACAGGGAATGGGACAGGAAAGGCAGCCTCACTAAAATATACCAATGTGCTTTAACTCCAAAGTTCCAAAATTTCTCTATTTATTGGGCCACTGTTGGAGCAATGGCCCGGCCAGCCTTCCTGCCTGCTCTGCTTCAGCATCCCTGACTGTCACCCACTTACAGACAGCCCATAGTCAGCTCTCACACATCCTTAAACACAGAAGAAACTCATTCAAGCTTGGAATTTCGATTATGACACAGAGCTCAATATCTTTAACTACTAACCTGAAACAATCATTTCTAAGTATGAATTACTATGTGAAAAAGAATGCCTAAGCCACATTAGAAAAGGAGAATGTTTCTTGATGAAAACCACCACTATCACACCCCAAATCCTTAGCTCTAATTTTTAAAAAAATTATTGTGAGTGCTATATTTGCTCCCTGACTTAATAACCTCTGTGGAGATGTATAAAGATTATCCAAAGAAGAAGAAGCATGACTTACTGACCGCAACAGAGTCACCTACCGCCCCATTTGGAAGAGACTCAAACTACACACAGGAGAAGATGTGGGAAAGCTCTCTGGTGACAAAAGTGGAGGGTCAGTCTTGATGGGACCTTGAAGGCATAGGGAAGCTGGAGGTGGGCTAAATAAAAGAGGGGATTCTCCCTCATATACCAAAAATTTAAAAATTAATACTGATAATGAAGAACAATGAAGCACTAGTCGAAACGTCACAAAAAGGTGATTCTCAAAGCCTTAGTATAACCTATCAATAAAAGTATTTAGTTCATGTTTTATTCAAATATTACCTATGACACTAGATTCCAAGGAATACCTTTGAGGAAAAAAAATTAGAGATATTAGCTAAGTGGTTATTTGAATTCATAAAAAAAATAAAAAAAAAAGGAAGAAGTATATCAAGTACCTGTTATGACTAGAAATAGACTGTTTGGCTATGAATATTTTCTTAATATATATTAATTAATGAGTTTTTTCTAATCCCTCCCTTAGTATTATGCATTGCAAGTTCCTTCCTCCATGCCCTGCATCCTTTCCATGTCTCTAGCTCCTACTAGACAGCCTCTTACTTCATACTCTTCCTACCTGTTGGAGCCAGTTCCTCGATTCTGGTAATAATGTTCTTTTCCCACTGTGTCCCCAACATAGGAAAATGCCCTGTCATTGCCAATCTTTGAGCTGTCTGCTTCTTCCCTAGATGACATCTTAGATCTTCTGTAACCTATATAACCAACTCCATGTATTATAGTTATTTTATTCAAACTGATCTAAAGTAGTTTTTTTTTTCTGACTTACCAAAATGATGCCCTGATTTTTCCTGAATGAAAAGGCAAAACATGGGAAAAATTCATTAAGTAACTGCTTTTAAAATTGCAAAAGCAAATAAAACATTCCTCCTAGCCTATTTTTCTTCACTTTTATACAGAGGATACATGATAAAGCTTTTACATGTAGACTAAAGGCCAAGAATCGATCCCTAATGAAAGGAGGGAAACTGCCTTGAGATACACACATTTATCTGTTGGGACTGAAGAGAAAAGCAAAGCTTGGGCTAACTTTAGAGCACCCCTGCCCCCAACACACACACCAGACCTGGCATCTTACCATAGAGAGGACAGTAGGATTGGGGGGGGGGTGGTGACAGGGAATGGGACAGGAAAGGCAGCCTCACTAAAATATACCAATGTGCTTTAACTCCAAAGTTCCAAAATTTCTCTATTTATTGGGCCACTGTTGGAGCAATGGCCCGGCCAGCCTTCCTGCCTGCTCTGCTTCAGCATCCCTGACTGTCACCCACTTACAGACAGCCCATAGTCAGCTCTCACACATCCTTAAACACAGAAGAAACTCATTCAAGCTTGGAATTTCGATTATGACACAGAGCTCAATATCTTTAACTACTAACCTGAAACAATCATTTCTAAGTATGAATTACTATGTGAAAAAGAATGCCTAAGCCACATTAGAAAAGGAGAATGTTTCTTGATGAAAACCACCACTATCACACCCCAAATCCTTAGCTCTAATTTTTAAAAAAATTATTGTGAGTGCTATATTTGCTCCCTGACTTAATAACCTCTGTGGAGATGTATAAAGATTATCCAAAGAAGAAGAAGCATGACTTACTGACCGCAACAGAGTCACCTACCGCCCCATTTGGAAGAGACTCAAACTACACACAGGAGAAGATGTGGGAAAGCTCTCTGGTGACAAAAGTGGAGGGTCAGTCTTGATGGGACCTTGAAGGCATAGGGAAGCTGGAGGTGGGCTAAATAAAAGAGGGGATTCTCCCCCATATACCAAAAATTTAAAAATTAATACTGATAATGAAGAACAATGAAGCACTAGTCGAAACGTCACAAAAAGGTGATTCTCAAAGCCTTAGTATAACCTATCAATAAAAGTATTTAGTTCATGTTTTATTCAAATATTACCTATGACACTAGATTCCAAGGAATACCTTTGAGGAAAAAAAATTAGAGATATTAGCTAAGTGGTTATTTGAATTCATAAAAAAAATCTGTTGTTCTTATAGCATTACTACTAGGAGAAAGTTATTATATTTGTAAATGTTTTCATTCTTAAATGTCAGATACTTTAGAACTCACAGGTAACAACCACTTTATAAAAACATTCAATAATTCAGCTAAAACTTTATGCAATTTTCATGAAAAGAAACTAAACCCTTCATGGGTTTTATGTAATTTTCTTTCTTCCTCATTTTTGATCTCTTTGTCTACCAGACATTTTTAATACCATTTTTCTGTAATCACTGCAGAAGATTTGAACTATCAGCCTGATTGCACAGCAAAGGCACTAAGATGTAATGAGGTTCTTAAATGGGGCATTAATTCTTTCCATTCTGCTTTTTTAAAAGACTGATCAAAGTTTGAAGTTTTAGTATGAGAAAATAAATAAGGGATGACTTGATACATTTCTCTGGACAAAGAAAAATGAGCAAAAATGGCCGTGATTAAGTTTGAAAACGTTGCAGAGTGAGCCACTGAGCCGTCTCCACCACTAATACATGCGTGTCCTTCAATTACCACTAATATTTGAGAACCTCCATTTTCCATCTAGAGTCCAAGTAGTTTGGAATTCATAATCTCTAAATTCATTTCGCAATAAAATAATGATACAGTATGAGTCCATGAACCTGAATATCTGAGAGTTAAGTACGGATCAATGGAAACAAAAATACCATACCTTTGTATTAACTTTCGTCTTTGCTTTACATTTGCTTTGTTCTCTGGCTTCACGAAGACCTTTTTGAGTAGGACCTTCTGGTGCATTTTCCTTTTCATAAGTAGGAACAACTGTAAGATAATACAATTTACTTTTAATGTTTATACTGTTGGTCTGTAAGAAATAGTATAACCAAAAAAGAAAGCCAAATTCATTACATATGTATTTTTTGAAATATAAAAGAATAATATTAAACCATAACAAAATGTTGTAAGTGAAGTTTCAAATTCACTTCCCAAAAATGCAGGGTGGTAATGCTGCAAGGTTAGTGAATTGGCTTGGCGAGCCAGCTGAAGAGCATGTAAATCAATCTCCAATTCAATTATACCTAATTCCTGCTTTCATGAGATTTCATGTGTTTATAAACAAAACTGAAGGGGGTAAAAGCACAGAATTGTAAGCAATAACAAAAATTTCCAAGTGGAACTGGATAATAGAGATTTTTTAAATGAAAATTGTATTAATAATATATCTTCTATGCTTCACAATGTTGAGAAAAACAGAAAACACAGGGTAACATTCCAAAACAGCTGTGATATTCATGTCTAAACTCTCCTGGACATAAGGAGCAGTCCTAAGGAATCATTTGAGGGGAAAAGAAAAGTGATAGGAAAACTCGGTTTCTTTTTCACATCTTTTCATATACATATACATGTTTAGGTAAACATAATTCCCTCCTGTATTTCTAAACAACCAGCTGATTTCAAATAATTTATACGGTTATAATCATTAACTCTTAAATGACTACATGTTCTAATTTATAACATCAATCTATGACAGAGAAAAGACATGAACACAAAAATATCTTGAAGGATTCTTTGCCAAGGTTCTGAAATAATTCTGACGCTATAAAGGTGAGGAAGCACACACTAGCTAGCATTTAGTTTCTTTCCTGATCCAATTTTTCCTACTCAGTGCCAGTTTCAAAGAAGAAAACCATCAAAATAACCACCACAATAACATAAAAGCCAAATGTTGCATAAGTTAGTACTACATAAAAGTACTTTAAAAACTTCAAACACTAGGGTATTCGGACTGTCTGTCTTCCCTCAATGGTGCTACAAGTTAGGGCCCCACAGAATCTGTGAGTCAAAATGTGGAGGAAAGGCAACAATTACAGCTTGTTTAGATTAGAGAAAAACTTTCACTTCAAATTCTCTTTTATAGCATTTTCCTCTTCCACGACCAAGAGTGAAAGTCTGGTGTTGATGACGATTTAAAATAATAATAGCTAGCATTTATGCTCCATTGATGTTTTACTATTTAACAGCTACTTGTCTAAACAGCATATGTGTTATTTCATGACACTCTGGCAATAACGCTGTGTAGTTCACTATATTGTGTTCCCTTTTACATATAGGAGAATGTGTACAGCAATATCTACAAGGAAGAAAGGAGAAAGCAATAGAGAGAGAGATCCAGGATTCCAGTGGATAATTCTAGGAATATGAGCAGACCTCGTGTAGAATGCAAAACATGACTAAACACCAATTTGCAAGAAATAAAATAAAAAGCAAGACACAAACAGCAAAATGATAAGGATAAATGAAAGTAAAACAACAAAAAGTGCTTCATTTACAAGTATAAGCAGTTGTTCCACAAGCAAAATGAAATTAGAAAAATTTACACTTCAATAATATTTTAGGAAAAAAAATCAACATTTGCAACCAAAACATGAGAATATACAATGCATAATATATGTGTAATGGAAAGAAAAATAATACTTCTTAATAATTTCTCAATGTACCAATAATAACATGATTTCCACTATCAGATAACTATCACTTTTATTTATACAAAGATTTATTGAACAAATGAGAGGCTCTCAAAGAGCTGACTCATTTGAAAAGACCCTGATGCTGGGAAAGATTCAGGGCAGGAGGAGAAGGGGACGGTAGAGGATGAGATGGTTGAATGGCATCCCCGACTCAATGGACATAGGTTTGGGTAGACTCGGCAGTTGTGATGGACAGGGAGGCCTGGCGTGCTGCAGTTCATGGGGTCGCAAAGAGTCGGACACGACTGAGCGACTGAACTGAACTGAACTTTTCAAAATGCCACAAAATGCTTCTTACTGTTTAGTAATACCCTAGCAAAGGCCATTTCCCCATAAGAGCGTCCTTATATTTATCATTTGATATTTGTTAATGAAAAGGCCTACAGTACTGACTGCTGCCATGCCAGTTTTTACTTAATTGGCACAAACATCATCTTAAGGAAGGTACGATTAGGAGAAATAAAGTAAAAATCAAATAAACACATTTTTAACTTACAGAAATTATAGTTATTGTACTCCCAGTGCTAAATTTCACCCATTCAACCACTTCTTCATGTATGTGCACATTTAACCCAGTGTTAACTAACTGAACATTCAGGCCCCTGGTTAAATGTCAGATATGCAAGAATATTTTCATTTAACAAATATGTAAGTACCTATATTATATCAGTCCCTAACTCCAATGTAGATTAAACACAGCTGAAAAGAAAATTATTTAACTGAAAAAATATCATGATGAAAGTATCCATAATTTATCCCAGGAAGAAAAACAGAAAATATCCAAGAGACTAGGAAGCTCAAATGAGATCAAAGTATATAAATATTAGAATTAAGAAAAAGGTAATAGAGATAAAGGGAAAGAGCTATATTTTAAATGATAACAATATCTATCTAAACTAGACTATTTACTACATATAGTCATAAGAAACTGACATCCTGTAGTACAATTCTGAGCAACAAAAAATACCCGACCCAAAAAGCAATTATTTAAGCTAAAACCTTTTCTCTACTAAATATGACATCTGTTTGTGATGCTCTGAAGTCAGTTTCACAGTTTTTCACTTCATAAATGATTTCCAATTTCTAAATATTTTTCTTGAATTTATAGATTCCTATAACAAATTATAAGAAATCATAAAATGTATGTATCTTTGCAGCCTCATGTGAAATCAAAGAAATATTAGCTAATACAAACATAATAAAAAAACAGCATATGAAAACCTTTTTGAGATTATATAATTTGCACAAAAAGTTATATCTCATAATATTTCATACTAAAAGGCTTTCTGTGTAGTTTATTGTAAATATTAGATACACAATACTTCCCATTACAACAAAGAAAACTGTAACATAACTATCACTCCAAATATCTAGCTGATAATAATCATTATATCATAGTTTCTCTTAGGAGCATTTCTACTATTATACGTACCATACAAGAGCAAACAGAATTATAAATGCTTTTCAGGTGAGAAACTTAACTACTAAAGTATTAATAACATTCTCTCTAGGTGTAAGCAATTATGGATAATTTTTCAAATTTGTTATCATTTAAAATTCTTCCATAATAAACACAACATGTTGTCAAAAAAATATGGCAAATTTAAAATTCTTTGATAACTACTCCAAGTGAGTCCAAGTTTTCGCTTATTCCTTAAATTCAGATTAAATAACAAAGTAAATGGTAATAAAGTCATTGCATCGTAAATTAATATAAAGAATTTCTACTGCCATACAAATTTATGCTCAAAATAAATGAAAAATAGATGAATTACAGATAGATAAAATATTTTAATACTTAAACTAAAATGAGAAAATGAAGAGGGAAAGAGTTAAATATATGAAAATAATTGTGAAAGATAGCAAGATTTATGAAGAACCAGCAGGTACTCAATAAACCAACTTTTCAAAAAAGTTGACTAAGTAGGGTTCCAGTTGATCAGCCAATCTGAGTGATAACACTCTGAGATCACATAGACAAATGCTGAAATCACTCAAGAAGCTTAGGAAAAGGAAATGCAAATCCTTTATAAAAATAGACTCTGCATGTTTATAAGGAGCACAAAATTATTCAGTGTATAATTTAAGGAATTACTTTTATTCAGGTAATTGAGACCTACTCAAATAATACATGTTTTCTTCATTTAAGTTTGAATTTATTTTGATCAAAAGTCACTTCAAAATACAGATAAAAATGTAATTATAAAATTTGGGACCTAATGAAACTTAAAAGCTTTTGCACAACAAAGGAAACTATAAGCAAGGTGAAAAGACAGCCCTCAGATTGGGAGAAAATAATAGCAAACGAAGCAACAGACAAAGGATTAATCTCAAAAATATACAAGCAACTCCTCCAGCTCAACTCCAGAAAAATAAATGACCCAATCAAAAAATGGGCCAAAGAACTCAACAGACATTTCTCCAAGGAAGACATACAGATGGCTAACAAACACATGAAAAGATGCTCAACATCACTCATTATCAGAGAAATGCAAATCAAAACCACAATGAGGTACCATTACACGCCAGTCAGGATGGCTGCTATCCAAAAGTCTACAAGCAATAAATGCTGGAGAGGGTGTGGAGAAAAGGGAACCCTCTTACACTGTTGGTGGGAATGCAAACTAGTACAGCCACTATGGAAAACAGTGTGGAGATTTCTTAAAAAGCTGGAAATAGAACTGCCATATGACCCAGCAATCCCACTTCTGGGCATACACACCGAGGAAACCAGATCTGAAAGAGACACGTGCACCCCAATGTTCATCGCAGCACTGTTTATAATAGCCAGGACATGGAAGCAACCTAGATGCCCATCAGCAGACGAATGGATGAGGAAGCTGTGGTACATATACACCATGGAATATTACTCAGCCATTAAAAAGAATTCATTTGAATCAGTTCTAATGAGATGGATGAAACTGGAGCCCATTATACAGAGCGAAGTAAGCCAGAAAGATAAAGACCATTACAGTATACTAACACATATATATGGAATTTAGAAAGATGGTAACGATAACCCTATATGCAAAACAGAAAAAGAGACTCAGATGTATAGAACAGACTTGTGGACTCTGGGAGAAGGCGAGGGTGGGATGTTTCAAGAGAACAGCATTGAAACATGTATATTATCTAGGGTGAAACAGATCACCAGCCCAGGTTGGGTGCATGAGACAAGTGCTCGGGCCTGGTGCACTGGGAAGACCCAGAGGGATCGGGTGGAGAGGGAGGTGGGAGGGGGGACTGGGATGGGGAATACATGTAAATCCATGGCTAATTCATTTCAATGTATGA